TTGTAGAATTTAATCTCCATCCTAAAGTCTCCAATAATGTCAATTCCATACGTTGAATCATTGTTGATTCAAACAAATGTCCAACTCCTTCCATCTGCAAATATCATCAAACAACAACAACAATTAATAACATAATCAGTATAATTTCACGAATATAGTCTGTCGAGAATAATGTATACGTAGACTTACACCTATCATATGAGAATAAAAAAAATTATTTTTGATTGACACTCGAGTTAATCTATCTATCAATAATGATTATATATATATATAAACTACCTGTAATTCAAGCAATTGAGGGGGACTTGTTTCATGAAATTTAGAGGCCACAGACAAACATGCAATTGAGAGTAACTCAAACATCCAATATTTCCATCCCTACAAAAAAAAAAATTGTGTAATATAAAATTTGATCAATTAACTCGAATTCAATTATTTATTAATTTTTAAAAATAAAATATTTCTTAAAAAAAACTTTAATATAAATTAATATTGTTACCTGGCACTTGTTTAAAGAGATAAACTGATCGAGGTAACTTGCAGCACCAAAAACAGTTCCAAATGAGAGATTCCACCTCCTTTGAGACTTTACATATGTTCATAATCATTAAAAAAAATAAAAATTAGGAGATAAAAAAACACATACAAAAAAAATAGTTACTATGCAAGAAAAATTGAATCTTAATACTAGAACAATTTATACATGATACAATTATAGTAAATTTATTTTAAATTTCGTACAAAAAATTATTGAATTCAGTTGAACCAATTGAGACTATACTACATAGACATCTTAAGAGGCGGAGATAGAGGGATCAAAAAAGGGTTCATTCCAACTCTATTTGTTGGAAAAATCACACATTATCTTCGTGAAAATCTTGCCTCTGGTACTGAATCTACGTCTTACGATAGAGATGGGAGACATGATTCATAAAAAACGATGATGAAATTACCTTAATAAGCCAATGAATAGCTTTGAACCTTGCATTCTCAATAAAACAATTCTCTTTTATAAACTTCACATAGCCTATTTTAGGCATGTAACTTATCTCCTTGTTTAATAAAACCTCAAAAGCTTCTTCACAATCTTCTTTTGATTTAAAAAAACAAGAATTTTCGACATCATTTTTTAATTCTTCTTCTTTTTCTAGCCAAATTTCATCACAAAGCAAACTCTCCATCTTTTGTAGAAAGAAAGAAAAAAAGTACAATTTTTAAATTATTCCAAGAATGACTTATAATTTGTCAGTGAAAAATTTAGGGTACAAATAGTTTGAAAAGAGGACAAAATGCAAATGATCACTACATGATAAGATAGTCTGCAAAACTATAAAAAGGATTTTATAAATTTGTCTCTTTCTAGTGCTTTGTGTCATGCACAAAAACCTTAAGGTAAACTTTAATATATAGTATAATAGTAGTATTAAAATTCTTGGTGGAGTAAAGAGTCATATGAAGTAGTAGTATATACAGCCTGGCTAGGCAAATTTATAGCAAATTGAATTTAATTTCTATGAAGCAAAAATTATATAAAAAAATATTTTGGGATCTTAGTAGCTCAGTTAATTGGCTATCTGAACTCCTTGTTGAAGATACGATGTGGGGTAACCCCTCCCATTTCCCCTTCCCCTACCCCCAATTTTTTAAAATATATCTATATGTTTATGATAGATATTACTCTATACTAATAATTATCATAATAATTATCATGGGGATTAGCTATGAATGAGTCATGGGAAAAAGAATTAAATAATTTCTTGATTTTGTGAAATATTAATTAGTTTGTATCAAATTTTAGAGGCTAAAACATTAATTATTTTGAACCCAGAACTTGTAACTGATACAAATAGCATTCTTTTCATTTCAATGTGACACATTTTGTTTTTAATATATCTCAAAAAAGAATAATATAAATACCTCCGTCCATTTTTAACTGATACAAATAGCATTCTTTTCATTTCAATGTGACACATTTTGTTTTTAATATATCTCAAAAAAGAATAATATAAATACCTCCGTTCATTTTTAACTGATACAAATAGCATTCTTTTCATTTCAATGTGACAAGTTTTGTTTTTAATATATCTCAAAAAAGAATAATATATAATACCTCCGTCCATTTTTAACTGTCATAGTTTTCTTTTTTAGAGTTAAACGATAATAATTTTGACTAACATTATGTATTTTTTTCATCATATTGATATGCAAAAAATTGGAATTTATAGCACTTTTCATATAGTTTTTAAATATCTAATTTTATTTTTTAAATATCAAATTAATGTAATTTAATTTAACTTTCAAAAGTAATCAAATTAACAACTTTCGAAAAGAACAATTTTTAACCGCCTTAATATTCGAAATTTATTTTAACCATGCAAGTAATCAATTGACATGACATCATATGACTAAATTACTATGAAGGTATTATACTTAATTTTTTTATACTATAAATATATAGTTGCAAAGGTTTTTTTTTTTTTGGGGGCGAGGAATGAAAAATGGTAAATGCAAACATGATATATATTATATTTTTGACTGCAGTAACCTATTGCGTGAACCCACGAGGATTATCGCTGTTTGGCTTACTCATTTTATTATTCTATTTGCATTGTTTTCATCATATATATAAAAGTACGCACAAATTTAAGTTTTTACTACTAACATTGTGGGGATATTACTAACTTATTGCAGAGTTAAAGGTTGGTACGTATATTCTTCTGTTTTAATTTATGTGATACGATTTAATTAATTATGAAAAAAAGATTTTTGGTATCCATAGAATAATGTAATTATGAATCATTTATTAAGAATTGAAGGATAAAAAAAAATTTAAGTTAAATTATTTGAATAGATTAAAAAATGTGTCGAATAAATTGAGACTACTAAATATTTATGAAGAATGCACTTTTTTGGGTATTGATAAGGAATGTGGTGCAGTAACTTCCCCAGTATCCCGTATTTTACGCCAGCTAATTCGCTGCAACAACACAAAATAAAAAATAAAAAATAAAAAATAAAAAATAACTAATTAATTTATTATTTATTTTTTCTGTCTCAATTTATGTTATGTTATTTAATTTGATATGATATTTAAGAAAGTAAGGAGAATTTTTGAATTTTGTCTTATTAATATTAATAAATGTTTGTATGGTTATAAATCAGATTTTTTTTAAAAAAATGTTTCATATAAATAGTTTTTTTTTTCTGTCACAATATATTTATAGTCTTTATTATTATTTAAAATATATGTCTCAAAGACTTGTCATTTTAAAAGTGAAAGGACATAACTAACTATTTTTCTCCTTTAATTTATTTTAATAATTGTGTTTCAAGACTACAAATACTTTAATTATGATACATTAATAGAGAAATATTCAACAAAAAGAGATTGTATTTTAAGACATAAATAAAAGTAAAATAGTTAAATATATATCATCAACATATTTTTTTATAAAAAAGAACAGATAAATAAATAAAAATATGACAAGTATTTTAAGATCAAAAGAATATATATTGCATAATATTCAGTTCCTAGTGAAGTTGCTACAAGAATTAAAAGCCTCTCGTGGTTGGCTTAACTAGAATGAAATTTAATTCACACACTGACGCCGACATCCCAAAAAAAAATCTTTTAAAAGGGGTGTAAAACTACATTTAAAATAGGTTGGAGAGAATATAAGGAGTATTCGTGTGGCGGAATTAATAAAGACTTTTGAAGCTTGTGATCTGATAAATTATTCTCTTATTTTTCAATTTATGTGATGATATTTGATTGGACATCAAGTTTAAGAAAAAAAAATAAGTATGTAGAAACTTATGATCTAAAATAAATCAAATTTGGCCATAAATTATTTTATTAACGATAAAATGAAAAGCATACTACTAGTAAATAGAGAAAGATGTGAGAACTCCCTATAGAAGTGAGTATCACGTAAGTTGGGACATAATAAAGGATAGAAGGAATATACAACATTTTTGTGGTTAATTAGAACTTTTTTTTGTTAAGAGTAATTAAAATAAAAACAACAACTATAACATACCCCCAACATAATCCCACCAAACAGGATTTGGAGAAGGTAGAATGTACGTAGACTTTATCCCTTCTAGAGAGGTAAGAGTAACATAAAAAGTTTTAATTAGATATATTTTTAAAAACATTAATTAAAGGGTATTTGACCAAGCTTATAAGCTAGTCAAACTTATTTATAAACACTATTTCACTCATAAAGTACAAAAAGTGACTAATTAGAACATTTTTTAGGAATTGGGGTGTTTAATTAGAACATGACTTAATTCAAGTATCTGAATAAATTATCCTAACTAGTTTAAGGAGTTGTGTGTATTAAGCCTTCATTATATTTTGCTTGGATACTATACATACGTCAAAATAAGTTTGACTTGATTTCTCAGTAGTCACTCAATTAGTTTCAACAAATAATTATTATCTTAGAAATCATCTTTCTTTGTTAAAAAAAATTGGACTAATTTTTTTGAAAAAAAAAAGATATAACAATTATCAGTTGAGTGATTATCTAACTAAATCAACCCCTTTAAATTTCTTCCAATTCAAGTTAGTAAGAAATTTTTTTTTGATAATAATTACACTTTGTAATGCATGCATGATAAAGGCAATATATATCATCTTTCTGTATGGAAGAGTGTCAAAATCATGATGCCTATAGCTAGCTGTCTATGAAGTCTAAATTAATCTATCCTCAATGAGTTATTAACAAGGAAAATCCATACATAGTGAAATATCTGCATGACAAATACACAAATCACAAATGATATACAAATATACAAAAAAATATATGTATTCTTTGACACCACTCTAAAGTTTGTTCTACAACAACATTTGGTCTAACCAAACATAGCTTACAATCAACCTATTCACTTTTCTCTTCCATTCTATTCTTTTTTATAATTTCACCAAATCAACCAAACATCTCTATATATATACACATGACCTCCCATGCACTAAATAGAACAACAACATCAAGTTAAGTTAGTAACAAAGGGAAAAAAAAAATCGAGATTTGATTTTTTGTGCGCGAAAATGGGTGCTATTGAAATATTTCTTGTCTCTCTGACGATTGCATCGTGTCTCCTCCCTAGCGTTTCCGCTGCAACTAGACACTATAAATTTGAAGTATGCATATATATTATTGCATAGTTTCCTAAGTGAATTCAATTTTTTGATTTAGAATTAATTAGCATCTAGTATATATATACTTACATTATTTTTTTCGTGTTTCAGATAAAAATGCAAAATGTGACACGACTATGTCACACGAAGAGTATAGTTACAGTAAATGGACAATTTCCTGGACCTAGAATTGTGGCAAGGGAAGGTGATCGTCTTGAAATTGAAGTTGTCAATCATGTTCACAACAACATTTCCATCCATTGGTAAACGAATTAACTTTTATTTTCATGAAATTTATAAGGTTCAACGAGCAATATTTAATATTTTGCGATTATTATATAGGCATGGAATTCGACAAGTTCGTAGTGGATGGGCAGATGGACCAGCCTATGTAACACAATGTCCAAATTCAAACTGGCCAAAATATTTGTATAATTTCACTATAATTGGTCAAAGAGGAACTTTTTGGTGGCATGCACATATTTCATGGTTGAGATCAACTCTCTATGGTCCTATTATTATTCTTCCTAAGAAAAATACTCCTTATCCATTTGCTAAACCATACAAAGAAGTTCCCATCATCTTTGGTAATTAACAAATCATAATTAATTGAAATTTTCATAATCCTTGATTAATATGACTATAAGAAATTAATTATTTGAATACAATATATATGTCACACAGGAGAATGGTTCAATGCTGATACTGAAGCTATAATTTCACAAGCTTTACAAACAGGTGGAGGCCCTAATGTTTCTGATGCTTATACTATCAATGGACTTCCTGGACCTTTATATAACTGCTCCACAAAAGGTAATAAAACAATTATTTCGCTTTTCAAATAATGTTAGTGCACTAAAATATGATATTAACACTTTTAGATATGTTATTTATACAGATACTTTTAAGCTAAAGGTGAAGCCTGGAAAAACATATCTTCTTCGATTGATCAACGCTGCACTTAATGATGAGCTTTTCTTCAGTATTGCAAATCATACTCTCCAAATTATCGATGCTGACGGAGTTTATGTGAAACCATTTGAGACAAATACACTTATTATTACACCAGGACAAACACATAATGTTCTTCTTAAAACTAAGCCTCATTTTCCTAATGCCACATTTTACATGACCGCTCGACCTTATGTGACAGGTCTTGGTACATTTGACAACTCTACTGTTGCTGGAATTTTAGAGTATGAATCAAAAACAAAACTCCATTTGAAAAATTTACCGCTTTTTAAACCGTTGCTACCAGCTCTGAATGACACAAATTTTGTCACCAATTTTACTAGTAGATTAAGAAGTCTCGCAAGTCCTCAATTTCCTGCTAATGTACCTCAAAACATCGATAAACGTTTGTTTTTCACAGTAGGTCTTGGAACAAGTCCTTGTGATCAAAACAAAACATGTCAAGGACCTAATGGTACAAAATTCTCAGCTTCAATCAATAATGTGTCATTTATATTACCTACAACTGCTCTTCTTCAATCTCATTTCTTTGGTCAATCAAAAGGTGTATACAAACCTGATTTTCCTTATAGTCCTTTAAATTGGTTTAATTACACTGGGAACCCTCCAAATAACACTCTTGTTCATAATGACACAAAACTTGTGGTTTTGCCATTTAACACGAGTGTGGAGTTAGTAATGCAAGATACAAGCATTCTTGGTCTTGAAAGTCATCCTCTTCATCTCCATGGATTTAATTTCTTTGTTGTTGGACAAGGATTTGGAAATTTTGACCCTAATAAGGATCCATCAAATTTCAACCTTGTTGATCCTATTGAAAGGAACACTGTGGGTGTCCCTTCTGGTGGTTGGGTTGCTATTCGATTTCTCGCGGATAATCCAGGTAACTTTATAAGAATTTGCAATTAAATATCATTCGAAGTATTATATATCTAGTTAAAATTTCTGACTCTGCGAATAATGATGTATGTGTGTTTGTTGTTTGTTACTAGGAGTGTGGTTTATGCATTGTCACTTGGAAGTTCATACAAGTTGGGGATTGAAAATGGCTTGGTTGGTTCAAAATGGAAAACTTCCAAATCAAAAGTTGCCTCCTCCACCAATGGATCTTCCCAAATGTTGAGAATTTAATTTTGTGCAATTTTGGTTTTGTTAGTTTGTGGGGTATCTTTTGTATTTCCATTTCTTATCAGTTCATGTATGTTATTTTTATTTGATTGTGTGAGAGAGAGTTAAAGGATTTTTGTAAATTCAAAACTCTTACAAGTTTGAAATCAATAATGAGAATTAATATAATTATCTTAATATTTCTTGCATTCAGAATAATCGATAATATTTCTTGCATAAATGTAGAAGTACATTTATAAAAGGGTGAAAATCATTTACACTTCCAATTTTTAAACCGTCTATAGAAAACAACCTCTTTACCCCACAAAGGTAAGGATAAGATCTGCGTACAAAGGTGGGATTACATTGGACATGTTGTTGTTTAATAGAAGCTGAATATTTTTTCTCGAAAAAAATGAAGAACATTTGTTGATCACAGTTCTCTTGAACTGTTCCAATGTAACAGAAAAGAATGTAAATAACACATTAACTTAATGTAGGAAAAAAATTTCCAAAAAAAAAAAAAAAAGGAAGATCAAAACACTCAAGAAATCGCGAAATGAGCAGTTGAATTTCAGTTCTTGTTCAACATTTAGGAAGATCTGAAGGTGGAGGAGGTAACTTTTGACTAGGTAACGATCCATCTAACACGATCCAAGCCATCCTTAGTCCCCAGCTTGTGTGCACCTCGAAATGACAATGCATAAACCATACTCCTGTTTTGACATATCACAATGTATGATCATTATTATTATTTTTACATTCATTTGTTTACAAAGAAAGTTGTTAGTTACCTGGATTGTCCGCGAAGAATCTAAAAGCAATCCATCCACCAGCAGGGACACCAACCGTGTTTCTCTCTATAGGGTCCTTGAGATTGAAGTTGATTGGGTCATTATTAGGATCAAAGTTACCAAATCCTTCACCAACAACGAAGAAATTGTGACCGTGGAGATGAAGGGGATGATTTTCAGCACCGAGAATACTAGTGTCCTGTAACACAACCTCAACACTCGAATTAAATGGTAAGACAACAAGTTTTGTTGCATTGGTTACAAATGTGTTGTTTGGTTGTGGTGATCCTGTATAGTTGAATGGATTTAGAGGGGTAGCTGGAAAATCTGTGGTGTAAATTCCATTAGATTGTCCAAAGTAATGAGATTGGAGTAATGCTGTCGTTGGAAGGACAAACGATATGTTGTTTACTGATGCTGAAAATTTAGTGCCATTAGGTCCTTGGCATGTCATGTTTTTAGGGCATGGATTAGAACCAAGTCCTATTGTAAAGAGAAAACGCTTGTCAATGTTTTGTGGAACGTTTGCTGGGAATCGAGTGTTAGCTAAGCTACGAAAGTTCTTGGTGAAATTGGCAACAAAACTAGTTGAAGTCATATTTGGTAAGGTTGGTTTAAAAAGTTTGGTTTTAGTTTTGTTGGTGGGAGAACTATGTAAAGGGGATTCATATTCTAGGATACCAGCAACAGTAGAGTTGTCAAATGTTCCAAGACCGGAGAAGTATGGCTGAGCCGCCATTAGGAAGGTAGCGTTTGGGTAATGTGGCTTTGTTTTGAGAAGAACATTGGTGGTTTGGCCAGGGGTGATGAATACTACATTTGTGTTAAATGGTTTGGTGTAAATAGCGTCTGTATCAACGATGGTGAGGGTGTGATTGGCAATGCTGAAGAACAATTCATCATTTAGTGCAGCGTTGATCAAACGTAGCATGTAAGTCTTTCCTGGCTTCACCTTCAACTTGAATGTATCTGAAGAAACATGATATGTTAATTTGAAAACGACATATGCTAGTATGTATCGTAGCCTGTGATTATCTCATGTAAAAACTTAAGTCATTAGACACAGCACAATTTCATTTACTTAATTATATTCTCAACAAGCCCTCTTCACGTGCAAGACTGATTCTTTTTCATAGACTAAGCACGTGGAAAACTAGAAATTCTTTTTGATAACTAGTAGTTATGAGACTCAAACTCATGATACTATTTCGAATTGTGGTCATATCTCTAACAACTTAAGCTTTTAGATAAGATGGTCACATAACAGTATGAAACATTGTGGTTGTCATTATAGTCATTGATTATCTATGATGTTCAAACTCTTCAAAAATGTCGTTAGATGTGTGTCACATCTTCCAAAAGTAGTGCATTTTTGGACAATCTGACACGAGTTCAACATCATTTTTGGAGAGTCTGAGCAATAACGGTGATTATACCTTTTGAGGAACAATTATATAAAGGTCCTGGTAGGCCATTGATAGTATATGCATCTGAAACATTTGGTCCACCTCCTGTCTGAAGAGCTTGATTTATTACAGCCTCAGTATCAACATTCCACCATTCCCCTAAAACCAAAACAAAAAAAAACAGAACATCAACATTTGTGTCAACTAATATTAAAATTTTACTATAACAAGAACATAACATGGTCTGTTTTACTATGATACTTACCAAACATGATTGGAATTTGCTTGTGTGGTTTCTTAAATGGATATGACTCGTTACGTCGTGGCAAGATGATAATAGGCCCATAAACTGTTGCTCTTAGCCATGAAATATGAGCATGCCAGAACAGAGTTCCCCTCTGACCGATGATCGTGAAATTATACGTGTAACTCTTGTTAAATTGGATCGGACATTGTGTAACGTATGCTGGTCCATCAGCCCATCCGTTTGCAAGTTGCCTAATTCCATGCCTATTACAACGCAAAAAACAGTATAATAGTTATACAATCTTGTTTAAACTGGAGTAACTTTTTTCGATACTTTATTCTTGTGTTGTCTAATTTCTTACCAATGAATAGATATATTGTTGGAAACTTGGTTGATCACCTTAACGATCACTCGATCACCTTCTCTTGCAATAATATGAGGGCCTGGAAAACGTCCATTCACGCTAACTATGCTCTTCGTGGTGCATAGTCTCGTTACGTTGTGTTTTACAATCTATAGACACAACAAAAATGTAGTTAGTTTCAATGACATTAAGAGGAAAAAAAATGAAGTTTATAAGTTGTTACATTGAATGTATAATGCCTAGTAATGCAAAATGTTGATTGAGGCAATAGACATAAAATGGCAAATCCAAAAAGCAAATATGAGTAGCCCATTTTGTGGTGGATATTATTATTACTATATTTAGGGGACTATATATAGGGACATAATTAGGTAATAATATTGAATTAAGAAGATGAAAAGATTAATTGAAATTGTTTGAATGAAAGAAAAATGTCATTTTCTATGTTGAGTTTGGTCACCTTGTGAGTTCCTCTTTGCTATGTTGGTCGACCTTAATTTTAGAGTGTTGATAAAGTAAAATGATTTACTTAACATGTTCAATTGTAAAAAAAATTATTATTACAAGTAAGAACATCTTAATATCATCAACTTTTACGATTAATTAGTTTAATCGTGATTAAAGAAAGATTACAAAATATTTAAAGACCATCCTAAACTTGACATGTAAACTATAAGTTGTCTTAATTTATTTAGTTTAGGGGGGAGGGTTTAGAAATGTCCCTATTATTGTAGTTAAAATGTTAATCTTTTATGACCCCCCTTGTTTTGTTCGTGTTAATCTGTGGTTGAACTGTTAATTTTATGTTTTTTTTAAAAAATTTCTTTTGGTGTTCGATAATTATATTGGGGTCTGAATTAATTTAAATTCATGTATTGCAAGATTCATTTCTAAGTGTGGCACTTTCAATATGTTTTTTTTTTCATTCCCAAGAATTTGAATCTGATACTTCGAAGTTCTAATTAAAAAGAGTGAAGGAATACCGATCAAACCATCCCACCATAACTCAGATTAGTTTTATGTTGTTTTTGTTAATTATTCACCCAAGATAAACAAAGTACATAACCAAATAATTAGCGTGAATATTAAAACATCTTGTCATAATTATTTTATTCTTAATTGACGACCACATCATATGCTTGGGGGAAATTAAAAAAGATTTTCTTGAACATTATATTCTGTTGATTCTGTTTTATTTATAATTTTAAGGGATAAGGGTCTGAAAAATATCCCAACTTTGGTCGAATTTGCTGTTGCGATACTAAACTTTCATGAGGACCTATTACCTCCCTAGACTATTTAATACCGTATTTTTTACCCCCTGAACTATTTAATAGTGTATTTTAAAGGTATATATGTGCCCACGTGGACACATTACTATTTATAATTTTGCATTATTTTTTATGTCCACGTGGGCAAATATATATGTTTAAAATACGGTATTAAATAGTCTAGGGAGGTAATAGGTCCTCATGAAAGTTTAGTATCGCAACAGCAAATCCGACCAAAGTTGGGGTATTTTTCAGACCCTTATCCCT